ACCTACCCATACGTCGTTCTTTTCTGGCTCTGCAACTGGTACCTATAATGAAATTCGGAACTGAATCCAAGTCCGTTATTATAAATCACCGGACATTATGGGTTTCCTTCCTCAGCTCGGAAAATCAACTCGCCTCGGGTATTTGTGTGTGTGTGTGTGTGGGGGGGGGGCGCGTGCAATAGAGAACTTATGACTGCCTGTGGCCGAAATGAGAACTGATCTGTGATGAGTATGTACTCTAGCAAGTAAGCAGCTACTTCTAACACTGGCCTAGCCAAAGCTGCCATATCATGTGAGGTAAACAGATCCTCTCACGTGTACAAGTCGGCTACCCAGAGATCACTAAACATGTCCTATCAAAGGGTTCCACCATCAACGGAGTGATCCTTTGGGTTTCGATATGAATGAACAGGCTCCTCAACAAAGTTTAGTGATATGATCAGGTACCTTGCCTAAGTCCATACCAGGCAGGGTGTTTGTGTCATATAGGTAAAGGTAAAGGTGTCCCTGTGCATAACTAATTAAGCACTACGCCATGAAGGCGTATGTGGGAGTGGATGTATAGATCCACATTTTTTCACCTCGACACCAGCTGAAGGTGAGTGGTCAGCTTCACGCCCCATCTGCTTTAACCCGGGGAAAGAGCCTCCGGTACCCATTGGATGGGAGGTTGAGTAGACCCCAGCGCTGGTCTGGACGACATGAAGAAGGACAAATTCTTGACCCTACCGGGACTCAAACTCCTACCCCTCAGTTGTCCAGCCCGTAGCCAGTCGCTATATCGACTACGCTATCTCGGCTCTCGTATTTCATATAAAAACAAATTAATGAAATATACTTATGAAATGTAAAAACAAGTATGTATTAATTGATTCCACACTCAAAACAACAACCAACTAATAAGAAACTTCTTCAACCAACCAGCAATAGAAAGAAGAGTAAATAGAATGTGGCCAGAGGATCTCATTGGTTAAGCACCAAAGAAACATCGAAGGATGATACCTGCTTCAGTATTACACACACCAATCCCTTTTACTAATTACTCTATTTATGTATATTGAGTAGATTGTAAAATTATTTCAAAATAAAAAAAAAGTGAAAAATATTGTCCGAGACGTATTGCAGCTCTGTAGCGAAGAAAACAGCGTATTATTTCTCTAGAAACATCAATTATAAATGCAGCAAAACAAGTTGCAAAATTGGACGTTAAGTAAAAAATACACGTAGGATCTTCTCAAATGAGAAGAAAAATTTAGTTAAAATACCGTATTTACGCATGTATAGGCCGCGTGCGTGTATAGGCCGCAGCACAATTTTCAGACAGAAATTATAGAAAAAATAATTTTCTTGGAATATTATTTCAGGAGTAGAACACTCTGTATTACTAATTATGAATATATTTTTTTTAATGAAGTGTGATTTCGAATATTTCGAATATAAGCCGCACCCCAGTTTTCCTCTTGAATTTTTGGCAAAAAATGTGCGGCCTATACATGCGTAAATACGGTATGCAATGCGTGCAGAATTCGGCCTGCTGAGAAAGGATTGATTTCTGAAAATACGAGTATTTTGTATGTAAGATTTGTTTATAAAACTGAACGCTCTTCATATTGTAGCATGTAAACCCGTTTATTGTAGTAGTAGTAGTAGTAGTAGTAGTAGTAGTAGTAGTAGTGGTAGTGGTAGTGGTAGTATGTGTAAGGAATGGGCCATAAAACCGGCTCTTGGACTGCGACCTTCAATGGCTTTATATCCCAGAACCCCCTCCTGTTAAAGAAATTTTTCTGTTCGGTATAAACGTTTTGGAAATAAATGATCTTTGACATTTGGTTCCTTAGTGTGAGTACCGTTATTTTACTGAAGATAGCGCCTTTTCAGTTTTATAAAGAGAGATGTTCTCGGGCCGGATACGCATTGCTTAGGCATTTTTGTGTCTATATAATTTTCATTCATTCATCAGTAATCTGTCAGACGACAGGTCCACAGTCTCTTCCAAAACAGTTCCTCCACTTAATGCGATCCAGAGCTTTCTCCTTCAAATGAGAATATCCTCTTCTGTCCCCAAGGTCATCCAGCATCTTCTTACGTCTTCTTCCTCGTCTTCTGGTTCGCATACATGGTGTCTCTGTTTTTGGAAAGAGACTATCCAGGAAAAGTGATAATGTGGTAGTTTTTCCATTTGCTTTCCACACCGCAGTACAACAGCCGTTCAAACCACTCTGGTCACGCCTGTTGCTATACGAACTTGAACCATTTCGAGCTTCATTTACTCTGTGCTTCAAGTCGCTACTGATGACGCTGTTTCCGGCATCAGTTTTTGGTTTTTGGTGTCTCTCTTCGTCTGATGCCTACCCTTTGACCTGTCCAGCAAGGGAGACTCTGCCAGTAGCTACGCTACCGCTGGTATAGCTCTCAGGGTCCTTGGCATACTCAAACCAATTTAACCGAAATCGTGAAGGCGCGTCCACATTACTCGTGCTCGTGTGACTCGCTATGCTCGCGAATAATGTGGACGATATGACAAGTCACGAGACAAACAAATTTTTAATTTAAAAACTATAGACAATAAATTAAAATAGGACTACAGCCTATACACACTACGAGTAAATATACGGATCCTCACGCGCGGAAGCCTGGCGAGCAACTGAAGTAGTGTGGACGAAGATTTACGAGCACAAGTAAACGCAAGACGAGTCTCCCGACGAGCACAAGCCTGCGACCACGAGCACGAGCACGAGTAATGTGGACGCGCCTTTAGAGACGTTTTCGAGAAAATCGGTATTTTGTGTTTTGGAGTAAATTTGAAGGGCCTTTTTTTTTTTTTTTTGGAAGATAGAATATTTATATTCGCCGAGTACCGATCTACCGAACATGAAGAAGACAAGTGGAACCATTCATGCTTCAGCAACGCTCATATCCAGACACACAGAGAGACATGCTAAACACTCTCTCTCCATTTTCTGTATGGCTCAGAATGTGTTATCAAAATTTCGAGATTTTTCTTTTTGCGAGCACAACATTTTCTCAAATATACTACGTACATGAGAATGCAAAGCATACTGCTAGCATGATACAGATCGAGGCGTGTGTTAAGCAACATGACAGGAGAGAGTGCAATACTTTTAAAGCAAGGGGAGATGTAAGTTTCATTCGTGTAGTGCAGTTTATTTATGATTCAAAGTCGAAATCGGAAGACCATCATGATGATACGAATAGCAAAAATTGCGAAGAATTTGTTGGAAGAAACACTTTTCCTTGTATACCACTTAGTACCAAATGTTTAAATGATAATGCGACCATATAGCACATGACAAGAAAATACACTTTCCGCTACGTCATTTTATAAGACTAATGTTATAATGTACCTAATAATAGCGGTATAGCGACTGGCAACGAGCTGGACGATCGAGAGGTCGGAGTTCGAGTCCCCGTAGGGTCAAGATTTTTCACTTCTTCATGTCGTCCAGACAGTCTCTGGGGTTCACTCAACTTCCTATAGAATTGGTGCCGGATGCTCTTTTTCCGGGGGTAAAGTGACCGGAGCGTGAAGCTGACTACTCACCTCCATCCAGTGTCGGGGCCAAGAAAAATTGGATCTATACATCTATTCCCCCACACGCCTTCATAGGGTAGTGCTTAATAAGTTAAGCACAGGGGCAGCTTTACCTTTGCCTAAAATGATGGGAATTGCCGTTGATCCAGAATTAGCGAAAGATGAACTCAGCTGAAGACCGTATTGGCACAGATATGGTTTAATATAGGAGGACACAATTGAGTATATAACTGCTTTTATGGGAACAGCAAATTAACACCGCTCTTTTCCAACCCGCCTTTGTTTGTATCAGCTCAGTCGGAATGGTGCTATCCCTGCTACACCTGTTTCTACCTTAGGACAGTGTATGAAGGCCACTGCAAGTTGTCCTCACAGATCAAACTAAGGAAGGTTGGTATAGGTACGGGAAACTAGCTGGGTCGGTTTGCATGAGTCTCAAGGTAGCGATGCCTAAGAAAGCGGTATTCTGGGAGTTAATCCAAATGACGTTTATTCACCTTTTGTTCTCCAAACCACACTGTTAAATTAATGTATTCTTATGCTTTAAGTTATATCTACAAGCTATGTCTCGGAGCGTGCAAGGGTCACGTCCGTTCACTTCGGAATATGGTGAAAGTCTCCTTTTGTGGAATGGCTTGCACACCCCATGACGGGAATTCGAAAGAATTCGAATTCTCCATGGTGTGGACATATACATTTCATTCCATCTTCCGTAAGGAAGCTTGAACGTGGCAACTCAATCATACTGGCCCTCATTGACAGGAACTGTAACAAGTTCTGACCTGTCCTTCTCATTGCCTTCCTTTTAGGCGCGTCCGGTTCCCTGTACCCGAGCTAAATTTATGACTGCCCGTAAATGTCAGAACTCCGGACTCCTTGGTCCTACCAGAATCTAGAAATTTCAACATAAACACCGTATTGCAAGTCCCAGACAATGAAATACAACATTAAAGATCACAATACATTTCCAGTAATATCGAAACATAAGACTTTTGAAATTTAAATTACAGAAAATTAATTAAAAATACATTTCATGGTCATCTGTAATCATCCAAATAAATAAGGGCTCAGAATGATCAGCGTCAAAATAGTGACAAGAAATCTGCTGGCAGTGCAATGGGCATTTCGCCTGAAGAGATCAACAGTTCAACAAATTCGGCTCAGAGAGAACCTGAATTAACAAATATATATGATATTCCGTCTCACATGCAACGTTCCTTTAAGATTTGTTTAAAAGTTACTACATATGCACAAAGAGTCTCTTAAACCTATTTAAAACCACACCGTACACTATATCTTTCGACAGTCATTGATCATAAACGTGTGTTTTAAAACTGTTTGTGGAGACTGCCGTGTTGGCGTTTTGCGTTTCTCATGTTCGATACGTTATCTCATCACACAACGCAACAAAGAACACTCAGCACGAAAAAAAAAACACGAATGTGTGATGGGACTACACATCGAACATCACAACAGAGCAGGGAACACCCAGCAAGACGAAAAGCACGAATGTGGGATGGGACCAAACATCGAACATCACAATAGAGCAGGGAACACCCAGCAAGACGAAAAGCACGAATGTGGGATGGGACCAAACATCGAACATCACAATAGAGCAGGGAACACCCAGCAAGACGAAAAGCACGAATGTGGGATGGGACCACACATCGAACATCACAACAGAGCAGGGAACACCCAGCATGACGAAAAGCATGACTGTATGGTGGGACTGCACATCAAATACGTGTATCACAACAGAGCAGGGAACGCCCAGCACGACGAGAAACATGACTGTATGGTGGTACTGCACACCAAATATCACAACAGAGCAGGGAACACTCAGCACGACGAAAACCACGAATGTGCGATGGGACTACACATCGAACATCACAACAGAACAGGGAACACCCAGCAAGACGAAAAGCATGAATGTATGTATGGTGGGACTACACATCAGACATCACAACACAGCAGGGAACACCCAGAACGACAGAAAGCACGAATGTGTTAGAAGCGCAAAAGGCCAACAGAGCATTCGCCACAAACAGTTCTAAAACTTGATTATGACCGATAACGGTCAGTGTACAATGTGGTTTTAAATAGATTTAAAAGACTAAGTGTGCATACGTAGTAACTTTTAAATAAATTTTAAAGGAGCGTTGCATGTAAGACGTAATATTACAGATATTTGTTAATTACTAAACAATGTGCAACAGGACGCTACAATATAACCTCCTGAAGAACCAGAAAGTTCGTCTGTGCCGGGGTCAGACTTGATCAGTAAGACAGAACTGCTTTCAGGAAATTACGGCAACACGTTTCTGCTGTTTCCATTGTCCGACTACACAAGACTTCATTCCTCTCCGTGTTTCCTGCACGCACTCACCACCAAGGGCGTATTCAGAAAACAGGTGGGCTCCATTTGTCAAGGGCATTCAGAAATAAGTAATAGGTAATAAATACCGTATTTGCGCATGTATAGGCCTCGTGCGTGTATAGGCCGCAGCACAATTTTCAGACAGAAATTATAGAAAAAATAATTTTCTTGGAATATTATTTCAGGAGTAGAAATTTGAACACCCTGTATTACTAATTATGAATATAATTTTTTTTTAAATGAAGTGTGATTTCGAATATTTCGAATATAAGCCGCACCCCAGTTTTCCTCTTGGATTTTTGGCAAAAAATGTGCGGCCTAGTATGTGAGAAATTTGCGGCACCTGAAGATGACCTGTTTGAGGTCGAAATACGTAGCGCGTGTTGTATAAATAAATAATAAATTATTGCTGCGCTGACGGTAAAAATTGTATATGTTCATTATGTATACGCAACAGGATGCAATCCTTAAAATTAAAGAAATAGTAGGTACTTAAGCACTCGTCGTTAGCATCCTATGCCAAATTCGTCTCAATATAGTATCCCATTGGCTGAGGAGAGTTTTGTCCAAATAAATGGTTATCTTCAATGGAACTCATGCTCTTAGTAAGAAACAGGTGCCGGGACATTAAAATCACGTAGAGTTAAAACTCTTCACCAAGTTCAGACAACGGAATTTAATTCCATTCAGTCCAGAAGTTTTGTCCTCCTGTCTGCTGTCCAAAATATTATAATATATAAAACTGAATTTTGCCTTTGGTTCTGTATGGGCGCGAAACTTCGTCTCTGACACTAAGGGAGGAACATGGAGAGCTTTTGGGAACGCGGTGCCGAGGAGAATATTTGGACACAAGAGAGATGAAGTGACATGAAGTTGGAGAAAACAGCATAATGAGGAGCTTCGTAACTTGTACTCTTCTCCAAGTATAATTAGAATTATCAAGTCAAGGAGGATGAGGTGGGAAGGTCATGTAGCACGAATGGAGGAGAAGAGGAATGAATATAGGATATTGGTGGGAAAACCAGAAGGAAAGTGACCACTGGGAAGACCAAGGCGTAGGTGGGTGGACAATATTAAAATGGATCTTAGAGAGATAGGATGGGATGGGATGGATTGGATAGATCTGGCTCAGGATGGGGACCAGTGGAGGGCTCTTGTGAACACGGTAATGAACCTTCGGCTTCCATAAAATGCTGGGAAATTCTTGAGTAGCTGCAGAATTGGCGGCTCCTCCAGAAGAGCTCAGCTCCATGAGTAAGTAAGCAAGTAAGTAGAGTCATGTTGTGTGGTTTCTTTCCCTTTTCTTTCTCACACATCGGAAGTATCCTATATTGTACCATGTTACGCAATCATGGCGTGTGCAAGAGATTACATAAACTGTCTTGCTTGGCTGCATGTGTCTGCATATCGAAGGCCGCCGTCGGAGCATATGTGTACTTACGTCAAAAAACCATTATTATTCACTAAATATATTGTTAAGACTTGATGACTCGGAATCATTGTGCCCTTTGGTACATCGCGTGACTACACTCAGCAGTTCACTATTAAACACACACACTAGTTTCCACAATCATGTTTTCACTGGCGTTGCTTGGTAGACGCTTCCAAAGACTGTCTTTCCTTTCCTCTGTGTTCCCGAACTGTCAACGGTCTCAGCTACCGGCTTCTAACAGCAACAACTCACAACGACCGAACCCCAGGAATTCTCTGAATGCAACTGAGTCTCGGTCTTATGTTACGACCGACGGTCAATCGGCCAGTCTGTCTTACAATAAAGCACCCATCTGGGTCTTACGACCAGATTTTTATTACTATCAGACAGTTGCAGGTTTGTTGATGTGGGTCTATAGTTTACAATTGTTGCTGGTGCTCGCCAGCGGTGTCATCCTCAGGTCCGAGTCCCGTGGGACTCATTACCATATTTTACCGTCTCAGATTCGAGACTTCCCCAACCTGAAGGACCTGGTCTCCGTATTTATATCCCACAGGAACAGGGTGGCTCATTTAAACCCCCAGCCTCCAAAAGTTCCTCTATTATTGCTTTCGTGTATTCGCTGCCGCGGAAGCGTGTTTACAATGCCGTTTCCTAGCAATGGCCGTCTCCTCTGGTTTCACTATTCTGGCTTTCAGGCGCCATGTTACAATATTAATAAATAGAGTTCAAATAGTTGAGATTATAATTTATAAATTTTGATAGTATACGGTACGTGTGAAGAATATTCAACTGCATTTTCTTACACATATTAGGTGTTTAGATCTACTGAAAGAAAATAGAAGTCCTTAAACTACGAAGTGCTGACGGTGTTTTCACTTTGATTGAAAGAAGACAATCGCTTTTAGATTCAATGGTGAGAAAAATATAGCAGTGTGCATTCGGTCCGTTGAATTTGTTGGCATTGTCAATAAGATGGGCGAAAACAGTACCATATGGTGCGGTCATATGCCGCAACCAGGGCCAAACTGATATACTCTATACTCCTATGAGGGCCTCATAAAAGAGTGAGAACTAACAAGCAAATTACAATGCCTTTACAATACCAATTTTACATTCTACGTGCATTTTACACCTCCACCATTTTCCCGCCAAACATTATAGCAGGATAAAGTGCTAAACTACTACAAGTCGCAAGTGCAGAGAAATGTGCAGTAACAATGATCATGGCTTGTGACAATACGTTGGGAATTCCGCGATTACCTAAGGCAAGGGAAAGAATACGGAATTCTTTGATTCGATGCTACCAGGATTGTTGGCCGAATTGTTACAGACTGACTACATCAACCCTCCTTCCTCGTCTCTGGATTCCATACACGGATAGTGTCGACCTGTCGGCCTTCTCTTGGAAGGTCACCACTATAATGTCAACAATGATGATGAGCTGTATTTTACAAATGCAAACAAGATCTACTTGGTATGAGGAGTTCTGTCTTCTGGGATATAACGCCATGTAATCCTTGAAAGTTAATTAATGTTTCAGAAGAACATATCGCCTCCATTTTCAGGGTAAAAGAATAAATCAAATAAGGAAAGAGTATGAAGCAGANCTGCTTTCTTCAACATTTTTTTCTTTTTGTTCAGTTTCAAAGCTAAGCCAAGTCTGAAAGATCCTATTTAATTCTGTTTTAGTTACATCTAATTACAGAAATTGTATGTGTTCACACTCTTGCCGTGTCTAACGTTATGCCTTAAGCTTTGTGCCCCGTGTTTCAACTATTATGTATTAATAATACCCGATGTTTATGTCTGAGAGCCGAACACAGGGTCCGCGCGGTCTAAGGCATGAACCGTCTTCTCTCACTCGAAAGCTGGGATCGTGGGTTCGAAACCCATTCAAGGCATGGATGTCTGTGTGTGCGTTTAATCTGTGTTTGTGTTGTTCTCTGTGTATGTAGATGCCTTGTGACTAGCCAATCTCCCCTCCAAGGGGTCCTTCTGACTGTGCATAGGATCAAGAAACTGAAAAAAAGTAGCCAAGTCCAACAAAGGACTGCAGAGCCATAATAATAATTTGTAACTGAGAACACGTGAGTTCTAAACATGATTGTACCATTGCTATTGTACTGAGTTACTATGAAGGAAATAGTCACTTTAAACGTTTTATAGAAACCAAAGTATTATTGATAGAGCCAAAATACGTACATGCTTTTTAGTATATGTATTTAAGTTTGTATGACTAAGTTACAAGTGTTTTGTGTGTGCGCCTTTTATCACATGACAGATAGCAATACGATAATCCAGTTCGTTCCAAGCACACCGGAGCATGTCCTTGTCAACACTCACAACAGCTGTTGTGATGCGTTGCTTTAGATCGTTTACACCTACAGGAAGTGGAGGAACAAAAACACTGTCTTCGATGTATCCCTCAAACAAAACAAAAACAAACTCCGTGGCTTTAGACCGCAATCTAACTATACTAACCGAGCGACCGCCGCTTGTCGGCAAAGTTACTGTCAACTTTAGCGGATAGAGGGTGTCGCGTGGTCAGCGCAACGAATCCCCACGGCCGTTAATCTCGGTTTTCTAGACCGGAGCCGCTATTTCCTTGAAATAGCTCCTCAATTATCCTCACGAGGCTGAGTGGACCCCGTTCGAGACTCACTACTTCTCAGAAAATTTGGTAGCGCCGGGATTCGAACCAGGTACGTCTAGATCTGTAGCAAGGAACTCTGACCACTAGACCACAGAGGCGGTCCCCACAAGAAAAAAAAAATCGCAAGGCGTAAGATCCGGACTTCTTGGCGGCCAACGTGTTAGTGCCCTGTTCTGGTCTGTTGTTTGGAATGGATTATCGTATTGATATCTGTCGTGTGACAAAAGGCTCACACATAGAACATTTGTAACTTAGTCCTACAAATTTAAATACTTATACTAAAAAAACATATAAGTATTTTGGATATATAAAAAATACTTTGGTTTCTATACGACTTTGAAAGTGTCTATTTCTTTAATAGTAACCCAGTATCTGCAAGCGTGTATAGCAGTGTTAGTTACTCAAGGTATACAGTATATTCTTATTTGTATTGAACTTGAAATAATATTTTGTTCAGTATTCCAGACGCTGGTAATCAGTCTGTTTTATTATCTGTAGTGTGACGTAGACTGCGTCGTTTTTCTGGGTGTTCGGGTAATAACACTT